AAGTATGTTTTGATTGGCAGAGGCTCATTCTAGGATATTTACAATCAACATAATCCATTCAGATAGCTGTTCGTCTCATAATCAACCATCAAACGGGAAATACAAACTCTCAGAAATTCCTAAAGCGTAAATTATCCAGATTAAGCTGTCGATCAGTTAAGCCTACAGAATCTACAATAAATGGTTTCTCATCAAAGTTAGTCTAATGTATGGGTATAAGAAATTGTGAAAATACATAATATTCATTTTCATGGAGTCTCATCCCATCTGCACCAGTTTGAAGTTTCAGTTTTGTAATTTTGTTAATTTTCATCAGATTTTGTGATTGCATTGTCCTAGTGTCATCCATATGATATTGTACAGCTGGTGGTAATATGAAGGAGAGACACTTCATTAGGACTTAATTGACATAAGTATACAGTTATACTTATTAGACACTGCTTAATGCTTAATTTACCATACCTACCTCAGTCTAATTTGCAATCAAAATTCATGTGGAATATATGGGTAGTATAGACAGTTATCTAATTGGAAAAAAACATAGAGATAAAAATGTCACCAAGAGGCTCTTAGAATATGTAGGAAGTTGCCATTGTGATTCTGTCATTTTTCAGTTGTACCCAGAGGAAATCAGAACCTTGTCTCTTACCTAATGGTGCCCTTGTCGCAATGATTATGAGCAATTTTTCCAGTTTTTATATGTCCGTATATCCAGATGGCTGTTTCGTTAATTGCATGGGCCATAATCTTATTGAGCTCAATTATTATAAATTAGGGGCAGTCCTGCCCTGCTAGTTCTTCATTATTTATAGGATCACATGCATCTTTGGGGGATTAATAATATTGTTCCAATTTATTTATCCATCTTAAGATCTCTATGCTTTTGTTAACAATGGGTAAGGCCATGAGGGATTTCTGGTGAGGTATCTAGGGTACTATGTATATTGACTTGGTTTTGGGTGCAGTTTTCAGATTTGAATACTTAAACATATAACAGTAATTGAACAAAGTATCGTCCAGGCCAATGAAGCCAGATATATTTCGACTTCTTGGAGCAATTTATGGAATGTATTGTGTCATGTTAAACTATAGCAATAACACTCTATTGTTGAGAATTTTTCATAATTCAATTATTTCAAAGATACCGGCCCCCAAGGTACAACTACTGGGTTATTTAGGATGGAGATTAGACTCTCTGATTCATCCTGAATGGTCCTCCTAGGATGTTAGTTCTTCATGTTTATTTTCATTTCATCTCATGCAGAAAATTCTAGCAGAGAAAGTTGGAAATTTTAATTGAAATTTTCCAGTAGATCATGGGTGGCTATTGTGCCTTCACTGTGAGACATTTTGGAAATTTTAATAGAAATCTTTACATTCTTTACCTGATGAAACTCTGAACCACATTTTAAGAATTATTAGAGGAAATCTGAGATTATCTACCTTAAACCTTAATGGATATAATAATTGTCTAGGAAAAAGGTCATGATGGCAAAGATTGCATGCTTTATATAGAAAAACTCAATATAATTCCATCATTGCAACTACGGTATATATAGTTTTATCATGGTATATTCAAATGTCAAAGTATACCAGGGCCACATATTCAATAGGGTAAAGAAATTATTTCTTTTCTGTAGTAAAAAAAATCGTTTAAACGCTCATTATGGAGCATCCTTTTAGATTCATCACTGTTAGCTTTTGTGCTACAATACAATGTATTTTACACTTTTACTTTAGAACTCCACCACTGAGTTCAAGCAATCCCCCTGTGCCTTTGGCTATGACCATGTTAGCATGGAGTGCCACTATGTTCAAAAATATCTTCATCTGTTTTAGTAGTGAATAGATAACACAGGAGGCTCCAAGATAAAAACAGGGAAAATGACTCTCTTTTGGGGATTGCCAGTGGCTAAAATACTTCATCATATAACATTTTCCAGGCCATAAGGCAGTCATAGCATAGGTGAGAAAGAAAATCACCAGTTATAGTATGGCATATATATGTGGTTGTGAGATAGCTCCAGGGGCCAAGGAAAGGGTCATGGGAAGCCTTCAGTTTGTAAGGTGTCAGCTAGCTGGTGATAACCTCTGTAGGGTCAGTACTAGATGATAAGCTCTCCCCTTCATCATCTTGGTTCCCTGGCTCCTGATCCCAAGTATAGAAGGATCAGTTACGGGATCTGGCCTGGTTTAGATTTTATGCTGTAATTCTACCCTACTCCTTTGAGTAAATCCTAGGTTAAAATTGAAAACTCTTGATCAGTTAATATTAACAATTTTGCGATTATTAGAAATATAAAAGCATTAAATAAACTTTCTGTTCATAGTACTTTACTGGAATTCAATGTTAAGTAATGATTCGGGGTTTTCTTTTCAGATTCTTGTTCTGTCATAAAGTCTAGTGTCAAAATTGCAGAAAATCTTAAGCCGAATTTGCAATGTTATTGCCTGTATGAATGAGTTACTTTAAGCTGATTATTTTCATTTTGAGGACTGAGTTGTTTCAGTATCCCCTAGCCCAGGGCTTTGAACATATATACCTCTGCTAATGGAGTTAATGTTTATTCACACTCAGTTAGGGAGAATGTTTGTCTCACCTAGAATTACATGTTTGTTGTCCCTCTACATTTTAGTGTCTCGTACTTTCTCATATTCTGTATATTCTCATGTTAAAAGTAGGTAATGAATTAGGTTATAGCTCTGCTGAATTCATATAGTTTGCTGTTATGGGATCGAGAATAATGGAGACAAGTTTTAGTTCTCTAAGGGAAACCTTCACGATGCTAGTATAGTTATTATATTATTATTTTCTTAGTCCCTAAATAAATACTTGCATTTGGCATTCTAGCTCAATCTGTAGAATTTTATTGAAAATGAAGCAATTTTGATTGATGGTTTCAATGCCTAAAAGAAGTGGCTAAAGGTATTTGTTATACTGTATTGATGTTTTTTTGAGATTGGTTGAAATGTTTGTTCTGGAACCAGCAAATGTGGCTGAACAATGGTTTGAACAATGGTTTGAAGTTTCAACTAAGTTAAGGGGTGGTTTGAACAACCTGACTCAATAATATCTATTATATTCTAAAGATTTGGATCTTTAATAGAAAATGACTGAAGCTGTATGACTCAGATATACCTCACAGATGTATTGTACAATATTGTGATAATGAAAAACATGGACTATAATGGGTCATAAGGATCTGTACAGTAATCCATTTATATTGGACCCATAGGACCTATACTATGAATAAAACTCCCAAGAATCATTTTGAAGGCATTTTAAAAGTATGAAAATCTCCCCACTAGAATTCTAATGGTGATTTATCGAAAGATTATTATGTGTTTATTTCGTTGGAGCATCTAAATGCATATTGGGTTCAAGTTTTGTTATAATCGAATGACTCGATTTTGAAGCTCTGCAAGGGAATATCTTTACTCACACATGAGCTCTTGTGTTATTCTAAGCAATATTCCTGATATAAACTTTGTATAATGCCGTAGAGACAATATCTATAATCGGCTTATAACTTGCTTGTCTACAATAGTCGATAGTCGTACATCAATATTGGCCTATCCACCCGATAACATAGCTCTGTCCACCTTTCATACACTTCGTGAATTTCTGAAAAGCTTTTAAAGAAAATATTGTTCTTATGCTTTTTACACTTAGCATGTGTTTTTTATAAAGCTAACACTAAGTATGTTTGTGATAATGGCAAAATAATTTCTTTTTAATATTGATGGTGAAATGTCTCTGTGTTAAGTTAAACATGGCGTACCAGTATTGATGACCAACTCTTTACTTTTTACTACTTTTTCATGTACTAGGACTCAGAAAATAAAACAATAGTACCTGGAATTTTTCATTTGATTGTTCATGAGACTGAAATCACATAAAAGATGTTTATTTTTTAAACAAAAAATTCTAAAAGATAATTTTATTTTGGATTGTTGCGAGGTTTCTGGGCTACGTGTCATATCCTAGTAACCGTGTATTATAATGGGTGGCGTTTAAAAAACATTACTTTCATTCTTTGCTTTGGTAATTTTGAATACTGTTTGCTTGTTTAATCACACCGAGCGCTCAAAAAAGATAAATTATTACTTAAGTAACATAGAAAGGTCATATAATTTTCTTTGTACATACAAAGGTAAAAAGTCAACCTGAAAAATCCATCAGTAAATCTTCATTATTTAGGTATGAATAGAAAATATCTATTATTCATTTTGTGAAGTTTGTATAATCTATTTCATAAATTAATCAGGAATGCTAGAACGATTGAAGACTCAAACAGTTTTAAATAAAAAATCTCGAACTTTATCAGTGCGTTTGGTTCATTCAACCTGTTATGTTTTAGTCCTATTGATTTTATAATTGAGAAGTGTATCTGGTATTCACAAAGTGTTATTCTGTACATTAACCCAGAAGACAATCAATTTCAACTATTCTGCTCGGTTAAGCTGGTTCTTCAATTATCTAAGTAAAAATGAACCTAATTATGAATAATGAAAAAATTATTTTTACCAGAAGATTAGGTTAATCCTTGAGGGCAAGATTAATTCATGGATTAACATGGATTAGTGCGTAGGTGTTGATGTCATATTCTAGTGACAAGTAGAGAAGTTGGTTTATAAATGTTTGGGTTAATAGAGGCTATGTGTGTCTATTTATCATTGCATTACAGCTGGTCACATTGGTCTTGTGCTATAATCACTCTCTCATGGTCTAATGGCATCAGGAAGCCCTGTTGAGAATGGAAGTCAGATTTTTCTTTTTTCCGATCCATCACCCACTTCCTACATTAGGCTTCATCACCTCCCTTGGTAGAAATAATTCACACATTATTCCATGCAGGATTTGTGTTTTTGTACCGTATTGTCTGAATGAGCTTATATAAATTTTAACAATTTAATGTTTCATATTTGTTGTGTACCTTACACGAACATGCATTGTATATTGATAGTGTTATTAATATATAATATTTGTATATTTGCAGAAGTTGTATATGATACCAATGTAAATGTGGATGAAGAAAAAGGCCTCCAATGGACCAGATATTCAAGTACAGACATTAAAAGAGGGGTAAGTATTTAGTTTAGTGTTACACTGGAGTAAATGGCTGGCTACAACAATCATGACACAAAGCCACAGGGCATGGAGTTTTAATTGCCAAAATTACAACCCACATTGAAACAAACATATATTTCACATTTAGTCATCTTAACATTCTGGTTTTTCATCTTCCAAATCATGGATTTATGTCATTAAGATCCTGAACATGTAATCTTGGCATGTTAACATATCTGACCTGAGGATGAATATGGTTAGTTCATGTTTTCAAATAATCATGGACGGCATACAATGTGAAATCAACATGATTTCTTTAAAGCAACAAAAGCTATATAATATCTATAATGTTTTGTGTGCATCTAGCTAGAATAGCTAGAAGAATATCAAAAGTTGTTACACCATATATATGAGTATAGCTAGGTGAGGAGTTTGTTTTTGTGGTTGCTGGAGTATCGATCAAATTATAATTGGGGATTTTACTCTGAGAGATTTCATCTGAAATATGGTTGAACTTATCTTGTTCTCAATGAATGTTTTCATATGGAATCATAGCAAATGAAAGAAAAATAAACTAATTGAGGAGAAATGTGAAAATATGAAATAGATCCGAGTGTTGTAGGAGTTATCTATTTAACTTCTGGTGGTACGCTTTATATGAAATCCTGTATTATTTCCTGGTAGAATTTTGCGTTAATTGCTTTTTTGTTTCATATTTCAAAAGCAATGTTTTCATTCTTGATGATTGGTTATTGTATCATCAAAGCTGTTTTTAACTAGAATAACAGTAATATACTATGTCCTGATTGAGAATTTCATGACAATTCCTGTATAATGTATCATTTAAGTTCTCAGCTGTGATGATGACACTTTTCTTAGTGTCCCCATATGCTAGCTGTTATGATGCACTCACTCTATCAATGGTCAAACATATAATTTTGTCCCAAGCCTCCATTCTTTGCATGCTGACATGCATTAGTTTTAATGGATCCTTTATACCAGTGGTCAGAACCAGTAGACAATGGAAGAATAATGATCTTACTTTCCGACTTTGTTTGTGATATTTTAAATTAACTTTTTTTCTCATTATAAGATTGAATTGCCAAAAATGATTTTAGTAGTCAAATCGAGTAGGGTATCATCAAGATAATAACTTGTGGTTGGTCAGGTCAGTTTGTCGCAGGTGACAGATGTTTGATGGGTTGACACATTTCAGGCCATTTTTATTTTTAGCTTGTGCAATGTCCTCTATGTATTGTATACAAGCTGTAGTAGGAAGCCAAGTCAAAGGTCATCTTGTTATCATGTTCAATCCTGTAGAAATCTGCTTCATTTGATATGAAACAATGGCTGTATTCACTGGCATAATGGAGAGATTTCAAGGTATATGGGGAGATGGCAGAAAACATCAATTTTCAACCTTGTATGTTCGCTGTGTGTATGGGTCTAGAACAAAACATAGCAATATTGAAAATGTTCACCATTTTGTCACGCTGTGTAAGCTTTTTAGGTTGCACATTTATTGAGGAAATCTTAATAGAGAACTCTTATGGTGCTTTATGATCTATACATGTGAGACATTAGGTGCAAATTGATTAACACAATTACAATCTATTGAAGAAATGTAAAGATTATAATAGTAACCACCAATTTTGAATAAAGCAATATTAGAGCTTGGATTGAAACTAAAAGCCTGACCTCCCCACCCAATCCTAGTTCAGAATACAGGAGATAAAATCCAATTATCTGTGAATGAGACATGGTAATTACTAAAAAAAACATCTCAACTATTGCATGTGTTAATGACGTAAATGGTCTAAAAATATATTTGCCCCACCAACTACATTATAATTAAGTTACATTGTATTAAATGGACAAATCATGTTTAGGATGACCCTAGGGAATTTTGAAAAAGTCACCATCATGGTTTATTTGAGAAAAGGTCATTTATGCAAGTATTTACTTACATCAAAGCTTAATTCTTATATTTCAGTTAGGAATATCTTAATGCATAAATGAACATTATATACATAATGTATTTTATCGGGAGATTGTGGAGTCTAGCCTTTAATAGAGTTTTGGTTATTTGAATTTACAGGTCAAGAAAGTGTAAGTATATTGCTTTGGAATAAACCAAAGGATATAAGGTTAGACTCCCATTTCCCATAAACTTTTTCTAATTGTGGTTACAGTTATTAATTACGTAGCAATGTCTATAAGATAAAGGGCATTTTAACTTAATCCTTTTAACCACCTTTTATCTTGAACAGTTATGTAAAATCCGCTATATATCTCTTGTCTGTCTCTGGCATGCGTAAAAACTTGATTTATCTTAAAATATATCTGCTAACATATATTTCAGTCACAGTGTTTGGTTTTAAATCTGAGTTCAGTGTTAGCTAAAATCTGGTAACCATAGCTTACAAAGTACAACCATATTGATAAAACAACTTTAGACAAACATACGAGACTGGGGAGCAGCAATGCTTGTTATCATTACATTGTTATTTCAGTCTTCTGATTACTTTATTGTGGGTGGTATGCATGGAAAAAACTACTAGTTATTTTCCTACATCTCTGAAGTCAGTTTCCAAATGTCTGTTCAGAGTGCTGATTCACAAGAATGGTTACACGATAAGAGTTATCTGTAAAAAATACCAAGAACAAATGAGACAGAAAATGTGTTTTACAAAGTTTAAATGGATGTTTGACCTCATTAGTATATGTTAGCTTAGCATGATCATTCAAATGATATCATATGTGATTTATAGCTTTTTGTTCCCTAATTAATTGCAAATTAATCCTTTGATGGTGCATTCATTACAAATTAACAAAAATAACATCAGTAAGTTATTATGCCAAACTTGCCACTGAAAGTCGTTATTATTAATCTTAAGCGGTAATCACCATCATAACGGATTTCCTTCTTCTTGGGCTTATGTACAGAGAAGTCTCTTATCTTGTTGAGACCAACTGGAACAAGATTTGCCACTTTGTGAATCACAATCTTCAATGTTCAACTGTCGGAAATATGAAAGTTACTTGAACTTTAACGATTTCCAATTTTAGCATTATAGTCTAACCAACATTTTTTATCATGATACAGATGCATTTTCTCAACAAAATGTCCAGTGAATTGTTCTTTGATAAAATGTTAGTTATCATGTAAATGACACTCTCTTGGGATTATTTGGTTACCAGCCACACTGACAACAATTCAGATAAGTGCTGAAATGTTGATTTAAATTTTTGTAATTTTATCGATTGTTGAATCACGTGGTATTATTTTAGTGAATTTTGAGTGAATCGGCAGCTGGATTGTTTGATAAAACATTAGTAACCTTAGCTCTGGCTTTAGACTTTAACTCTCCATGCTTGTATTTTGGAACAGCCCTTTGCTCTTATAACTATCAAATTTAGGTGTTGAGAGGTTTATACCCATTTGATGGGAATGATACAGACAGCCTCTCATTTAGGAGATGTGTAGGCTCTTAGAACGTGGAGAAGATTTGAATCTTAGTGGCGTTATCAGTCCAATCCTGACTTCCTTTGATTGAGCTTTCAATTCCTTCTGATTTCTAGCTCACTGGTTAAAGTCATCATGCCTTGATTATTGGACCCTCAAAATATTGACTTCTAATAGGCATATTTCATCATGGAAAATGAAACTCCTGTCAAATTTAACACGATCCGTGAACAAGCCAACATAGCGTGTGGAATCAATAGCAAATTATCGAGAAAAAATATCATTTTGAGAAGATTAATGGGGGAAGAGTTTATTACATTATAAGTTTGGATGGTCAGTTATTTTGTTGAGATCTTGCGGAAAATCTTGGAAATCGATAGAAATAGGAAGGCATTTGTTACTATTCTCTTCTGATTTGCTATTATGCATGAAAATCTGAGATTAGAAGAAATCAGCCTTCTACATCTGTCTAAGACATTTCTGAAGAAATTCAGTATTCTTTGATTCCGCTGAATAGGTTTTGATAAACGTTGCCAAGTCCAGAATATTATCAATGGCCATCTTTGGTTGCCTAGTTGAGTAAACTGAGGATATTCTTACATCAAGTGCTTGTATTTGTCTCCCCCTATCTTTCTCTAACACACAGGATCAGGAAATAGACAGGGAGGTTTCTTAGAAGAAGAACATGGATCAGTACTTACTCAAGGAAGAAGATACTGCTAAGAGGTTACAAAAAGGTTGTTTTCTTTGAGGAGACTTATTCACAAAATGAATGTTTCATTGATCTCACATATATAGGGTGTTGCCATAAGGGTCTATTTCATGATATATCGTGATACATACCTTTACCTCAGAGACCTCAGAATCACTTATCCTTATACCACACACTTTGGGTAATCAGATTTTTTTCACATTAATCATCCATGGTCTACTGAGCAAATATCAAATCTTACAAAACTGCATTAAAAACTAATTTAAGGATGTATTGAAGTATGGGGGAGAGTTCAGTATGAAAGTGAAGATAACAGACTTTCACCCTTGTGTTATCTCTGGGCGAGAGACTCTTGAGAGGATGCTTGCTATAAGCGGGAGTCATATCATTTGTATCATAGTAGCTTGTTAGAGGTCCATTGCTTAATTATAATTGGCGTATGTGTTTAGATATGTTTAACTATGACCTTTGTTTTAAATATCATATCCAATAAGTCCCACTTCTTGGTTTAGAATATTCTGCATGAGGTCAGCCATTATCATGATAGCAAGGGAATAAGAGATCAGAGTGCTTTTGATTGATCTAAAATACATGACAGCCTTACACGACAGGTTATCATAACAAAATCAAACTAGGCAATCAATACTCTGTTGTATATATATTTCATTTTGTTGATGAAATTGTGCTTTCATTGAATGTTGAGCGATAATTGAGTTGAACATGTTCACAGTTGATAAGGCCCTGTTTACCAGCAATGTATTATCCTTTGTTTATACTAATGATAAAATAAGATAAAGAGATGTGTCTTAGGGATTTGGAGATAAAGACAGAGATAAA